AATAAATAAATAAATAAATAAATAAAGTGCAGGAATATGCAAGTCTTCTCTTCCTGGCAGTATTGCCTTCCTTTCCAGCAGTATAGAAGGAAAGATGCCAATGGGACTTTTGTCTGAATTAAGGCTGAGTCCTCTGAAGTTAGGAAGACTTGTAACAGAGCTTAGGTGACATTTACACTGCACTTCAATATCTGTCTGAAGATGTCCTGCCACCACATTTTTTTCCAGAATACCATTCGCAGCAGACAAATGCGGGGATCTTAAATCACCTCTTTTCCTCTCCCATTCCTAGCCATACCCTTGTGTTTTGTGTTATACTCCAGCAGAATAAATAAAAGATTCCCGATCCCCTTTGTGGAGAAAAGTGGGATAGAAATAAAGTAAATAAAATAAATAAGATGCAGATTCAAGACTTCCCATGCCTTTCCTTGGTTCTAGAGCATGGGTGACAAATCTGGATTTGGCCTGCAGCTTTGCAGCCAAGACAGCTAGTGATGATTGCATTTCACCAACACAGACATGGGGGAGATCTTTCTTGGCTGTAGCACCTCTTTAATGGAGCCCTCTTCCCTTAGAGGTTCTATTGGTGCTAACACTGACCTCATATTGGAATCAAGTCAAAACATAGTTTTCTCCAAGGCCTCTGGGGATTTAATGAATTATAGAAGCTTTGTTGTTGTTGTTGGTTTTGATGTATTTTGAAGTTTAAATGTTTTAAAAATTTTTAAATGGTTTCAAAATACAGTACTGAACTTTTTAATATTGTTTTTATTGTTGTACTTTGCACTGATATCTTCGGATATAGAGTGGAATATAAATGCCCTACATACATACATATAGACATACAATATTCACATTTATATTCCTGGGGATATGAAAATAAATACCATGGACACAGGTGGCAAGGAAATTTAGTTCTGCCCCCCTGAAGTGGCCTATGGATTACCACGTGGCATGTGCAGCCAGCCGCATCCTCATTTCACCAATCGTAGCTGACCATTCAACAGCTGAGTGAGGAGACTCATCATCCCACCTCCTTTCCAGATTGACCAGCCACATAGGGAGGTGGGGAAGTGCCCGCCTGGCTACTTCTGTGATTGTTGTGATAGGAATACTGCATGTGCTGTATGGACACACACACACGCACGCACGCACGCACGCGCGCACGCGCGCACACACACACACACAGAGAGAGAGAGAGAGAGAGAGAGAGAGGGAGAGAGAGAGATNNACAGAGAGAGAGAGAGAGAGAGAGAGAGAGAGAGAGAGAGAGAGAGAGAGAGAGAGAGCATCCGTGCTGTAGGCATGTGTTAAGAGTAATACCAGGTACAGTAATTGTATATAACCTTGCTAGTAAGTCTATTGGCATTGTTAGTATCTGTATGGGAAAGTTCATCTCACAGGTACCATACATACATTTCCCATCACTATAGATAAAGAATATAAGAAAGCAGCTGGTAAATGATGAGTGATGGTAGAGTTGAGAATGCAAGAATTTCTTTTTTCTTTTTAAATGAATTGGATAACTATGACTGTAGAATGAACAGTTTTTTAAACCAGCCATTAGATAGAACAGAAGGAAGATATATAATAATTACCTAGTATCGTCTCTGTACCACTCAAAATCAGGTGTAGGCACAGCGGAGGCTGCACACTTCAGTGTAACGGGTCGTCCTGTAGCAGATTCATTGCTCTTAGATTCCGTGATAGTTGGAGGGTCTGCAGGAGAGAAACACTGGCTCGTGTCACTGTCATCTAAAAGCAGTGGACCTGTTTGGAGCTAGAATGGGAGGATTGAAGCCATTCAAATAGTCATTATCCAGGATGATCTATCCTTTACTATGAGGCAGAAAGACCTGCTGAAGGCAAGATACAATGAAACTGCCAAAAATTAATTAATTTCAAATGTTATGTAGCCAAGACAACATCTAACTTCAGATGGGAGAGAGGAAGATCAAGGAGGAGGATTAAATAGTCAATTTATGGGATGAAATAACAATTCTCTGCAGCTGGTGATGTCAGCAAGATGTCACCAAGGGATATCCACTTTCTCCGTACACCCCCCCCCACTCATTGTGATGCCTGTCAGGAGATATATGGAATTATTTGTGTAGATTATGCAACACCACCCACATTCTTTCCGATAGTAGGTGTAAGTTACGTATCCCAGACAATATTGCCAGCCATCTGTAGAAAGAACAACTGATATGGTGACCCCAGTCTTTAGGGCATCTTAGTGACCGAAATGGTTTTTCAAGCCCTGGACAGTCTGAGAAAAGTTAAACTAAGAAAACAAGCCTGGTTCAGTGATGTGGGATAATGTTTGAAGAAGGGATCAATCAGTGCAGAATATTACAAGAGAAAGGGGCAAAAGCAGCAGCTAAAATATTGGGAGAAAAGAAAGGGGAGAGGAATGCTCTCCTTACATTGTTTGGATTGGTGGTTGTAACTGAGAGTTGATCGATGGAGGATATCTCTGAGCTATTATCAGTAATGCTGACATTTCTGTGACTGTCATTTGAGGTCATTAAGATATAATTTGCTTACCATTAAGGAGCAAGCCAAAATAAACACTTTTATGAATTGAACAGGCCAGGGAGCTAATGTTAAAAATGTTGATTTACTGAACTTTTATGTTCCAGTGCATTGATGTCTCAAAGGACAATGGACTCTCCTTCACTGGAGAAACAGAGGTCAGATGGTGACCTGTCAGAAATGCTTTAGCTGTGGGTTACTTCTTCAGCAGGGGGACGGACTCAGTTACCTTTTAAGTCCCTTCCAACAAGAAAACTCAATGGTTCTATGAATTATGTCTTATGAAAGTTGTGTGGGAGGGTACAATATAATTTAATAAACATTTTAGTTGAAAAATTAGGACCTTGTTACAAATCAGTCATGTCAGAATCAATGGAGAGGATAAAGCAGGTAACACCAAGAAGTATTTGGAATTTTTTAAAATTTTTATTTTATAAAAAGGAAACAAACAAACAAAAAAAACCACTCTGCGAACATTTTTTTATAAGCAGTAAATCTTTTTGCCATCTGTAGTGAGACAAATGATTTCTGCTCCATTGGAGCTCACATAGGAGATGAGTCATGGAATGAAGAAAATACCCCACATACCTGAAAGCTACACCATCAAGCCTAGCCAAGCTTTGTACTTGTGCTCCTTATCAAGGAGCTGACACACTCACTTTCACCTGCATTCTTCATATTAGCCACGCTCCATGATATTCTAGGCAGGCCCACGGCCAGTTCCTTTAATCCTGATTGGTCAACATGCTATCTAAGGAATGCAAGGTCAGCTAATTTCGATCATTTTTTTAAAAGCTATCAATTTTCCTTGAAAGATTATTGCAATGGAAGTTTCCGTAGTCTGGCTGGAACTAAAAGATGCCACTATTTACTTTACTTTAAAATATGTATATTGGGAGGAAGAACAGGTGATGAAAGTGCAAAGACAAGTGCTATTTTGAATATTTTTCATCTCACTGTTGCTTTTGGTATAGCATCATTGAAATGATACTAACACTGTGATCGTGTCAATGTTTTGATATATTTTTATGCTAATAATCCAACATGGCTGCAAATATTTTACAAAGAGGCCAATGTTTAAGCTGTATTCTTTTTTTCTTTTCTTTTTCTTTTCTCACTGTTTTCAATGCAATCCAAAATTATGAATTATCACACCCTAAACTTGGAACAGCATTTCTTGCAAGTTCACACTTGATAGACGAAATAGCTAGGTGGCTTAATCCTCCAGCAGGTTGTGTTACAGTCACTGGGTGTGCACCCATATATCCATAACACTACACACACTTCAGGGGAAATGAATTGCAGCTGCTTTTTGTAAACCTCATTTAATAAGTGGAGATGGCTCATATTCTTTTGTAAAATCAGATTCTTCTGAGATGCAACCTTTTCTAAGAAAAATTCTCAGAACATTATTGTGAAACAGACATTTATATTTTCATCCTACAAATCCTATTGGCTCCCAGTACTACCTCTGCAATCAATGTTCTTAACTATTTTGGTGTTTTGTCCTTCCTACATCCCTGTGCACAAAGAACTCTAGAACTGGTAGTTCCTGCTCTCATAAACTGTAGGAGCATATTTTCTATGGTTGCTAGAAGTGGTCTAATATAGCAACACACTGTTCAGAATGTTTCTTGTTTTGCTCTAGCACTGTTTATAAGTAGCTCCATCAAATTTAATGAAATCATGACAACAGGCATGCAGACACTAGGAAATACAGTCCCGGAAATATCTTAAAATATGTGCACCATAGGTTTTTTTTTTTTTTACTTGCATTAAGGAGGCTGCAACCTGAGATCTGATTCTGGAGGCAAATCCCTGAGCTGTATAATTTTTTGTGGATCGTATACAAAACTGTCTTAGGAAGAAAGTCTCTGCAGATGTTTGGTCAAGTTAAACAGGGAATAGTCTTTTCATGGAGGGAAGGACTACGGTCACCCCAGAAGTTCTCTTTCCCAAATGCTACAATTCTTCAGATTCTGCCAGGGTATGCACAGTTAGCACAGAGAGATCATTTGCCTTTTTTTTCCCTATCAGAAAACTTAGCTGTGTGCTAGATCTGCAATCTGCAGTGTTATGTTTAGCGCTGTGCATCTTCATTCCCAACCAGTGCTAAATAAAATGTGCAATGACAGCTCCAAACAAACAAAAACCTTTAGTGAGAGTCAAAATGGGTGTTTTGAATCTATTTTTGATGCAAATTTATCCTTTTCCAACCTTACACAAACTCCAGTTAGACACGAAAGAAGACATTTCCAGCTCTGATATTTTTGGCCTCATTATCTTCCCCACTGGTTATAAATATGCAAGTGGGCTTTAGGGTGCATGCTGAAATCATGCTAATAGAGACTGGACCATCAGTAGCCAAAAATGAATAGATGTGGTATGAATGGAAGACAGGGAACGGACTGAGAAATGAGCCAGATCAGTTTAGTTCTGTTGTATTTACTGAACTCTACTGTTCCATACTTTTAAACATACAGTTGCTGGATGAATTCTTCAAATCACATTGCTTTTAGCTTGACCTATAGGGCAATAACATAGGTTTACCCCTATGCTCTTATAGGGGTAGACCTATGCTTGCACTATTTTGCTCCAACTATCTAGCCCCAAATTTCTGTCAGACAGTTCTGCTGACATTTTAACCCGAACTGCACATTGTGTGTATCCAAGACCAAATTCTTCATTGTCCATCCTGTGCTTAAAAAAAGGAATCTTTGACTCCTCCTTTGTTTTCCTTTTGAATTGCCCTAGCTTACTGTCAATTCAAGATTCCTCTCTCTATGCAACTCCTTGCTTCCTTCTTAGAACAAACTCTGTTTCATATACAGCTCTGTTTTTTAGCTTACTTTTTTCACAACTTAGCCACTCCATCCCTAGCCAGAACTCAAACACCCATGTCAGTCATGTTTCTCATTTATTAGTATGATCCCACTCCTTCTGTACTGGTTTATCAGAGAATGCTGATCAAAGTTTCAGGGAATTGCTAAGTTTCTCTGGATTTCCCAGGGACACAAATCTCACAATGAGCAGTACTGAAGAGTGCTGGGCAACCTTCTCTCCCCACTGATATCGGAGCTCATTGGCTCATTCCAAAATGTTTGCATGTGTGTTGCACATATATATCTTTAGAAAGCAGTTCAGGAAATCCATAATATGTTCAATTCACTCACGCCTTCATATTCATACATCTCAGAGGACCTCTCATGGACTACTCATATTATTTTGTAGTTGTTACACAAGGACCCACTCTCTCTGACATCAGAGGGATTCATCATCTGTGACTTCAAAAGAGCCCTCTCTGTAGCCTCAGGTTTTGGTCATGAATTCTCAGATACAAGAAGCTGCTGGCCTTGCTACCCTATTCTATATGTCTTCATGTCCAGGATCTTAATTTTCAAGTGTTTCAGCCTTCATATTCATGTGTGTTTCTGCCATGAACTGTAGTCTTCCAATTTAATTCAGAGAAGCATGAACATACATCTTCTTCCATATACGACACCACTCTTCTGTCCTTCCTCCCCTTATGTCTAGATCTTCCTTCAGATACATTAATTATAAATGGGTATTAACATTTCTGTCTCCTTCTCACTCTTTCTTCAAACCAATCATCACAATTTACCTTTGTCTACCTCTAACACTTTTTGTTCAGTTGCTTTATCTTATCCCCTACTGAAATGAAACAGTGGGAAAACATGTGCTCAGCACACTTTTATGTATCTAATTAAAATACATAAAAGTGTGTTGAGCACATGTTTTACCACTGTTCTTGCCTATGTCTTTTTTCCTCACTTCTCTGGTACCTTTCTCTTTAACTAACAGTAGATTTTAAGCTCCTTGGACCTGTAATCTTCCTGGTCTTCAAATAGTCATGTAATATCAACAAGCTCAATATACAGAGCAATATAAGTGATCTGGGAAGGGAGAAGAGTGAAATAGAAGATGTGCTACTACTGCCAAAATTTGAATAGATCTAGATGGCCAGGGTTACAGCTGTGTGTATGGGGGAAGACTGAAGTATCAATATTTGGAGAGGTTCCATCTGCAAACTAAAATAATCATTATTTATGCCAAATCTAGACTGGTGTATGGAAGTATCATTCTGGTGCACTGTTCTGGTACCTCTGTTTATGACTAAAGGTCGTAATATCCCATAGATATCAGTCATACTGAACTGTCTGTGTGCAAACAGTATATGAGTCCGCTAAAGATGGACTAATGTGTGAACATTGATTTATCTATTATTTTTCAATTGTTTTCATGTCACATCAATTTATAAGCAGTGCTTGTTGTTTTGTATCTGCATACATTCATACATTTTATGCATATTTATCAGTATTTGTATATTTTTAGATATTTTTAATGACTTTTGCAAGTTCTTTCACCTAAGGAAAAGCAGTTTGGTTCACACTTTTTTGTAATATATGCACAAAATATACGCACAAGTATACAGGGAACTGTATACTTCTCCATATTATCTGAAATTCCATGTGTATATGTTTCTATTGCACACTTTGTCACTATGGGTATGTGGGTATGTTTCAGTTCTTGCAGACATTTGAATAGTGAGAAAACACTATGGTTGCATATATATGTAAAACTCAACAGATGACATGCCCATCTCCACTGTTAGCCACCAAGCAGGTCCATGTATGCTTCCTGTTCCCAACTGTAAACTAAACTGAGGAGAGCTGCAGGGTAAAAGTAAGCCATGAACTAGAAGTAAGGTGTATTTTGGTGGAAAGATGGTGTTTTGTTGAGTTTCGTTATTTAAGGCAAATTCCTGGGCTTGCAATTTTTCAATACTGAAAATATGGGTCAAAGGAGTCTAATAAAAAATAAAGTAGGTCCCACAGGTCCAATATCTATTGTCCAGCCCTGCTGTACTGAAAATGATGAAGCACATGGTTTGATACTGAAAAAGAAATGCAAGGGGTGCTACTTCATTATGTCTTAAGCTGGGGAAAACAAGACCTCAGGCCAAGGGAGGGTGGTAACCTAGCCCATGGAGGCGCTGAGTCCCCCTCCCAAGAAGCCTCTCCGTGTTGGCTGAGAGTGGCTTTGCCTTCCTCCATTTGCACACACCAGCTGAGTCCCAAGTTTAGAGTTTTAGCAAGTGGCTGCAAGCAGCTGTACAGCTCTCTTACTTTTTTTTTACTATGATTCAGCTGTGCAATTTACATATCCAAACACAATATTCATTTAGTTACATTTTTCTTAGGCTATTTTATTCCAACTGTCCTAGAAACTCACTCAGGATTTGTAATCTGTGAAGTTTCTTGCTCCTTTTTAGTCCTCATAAGTGGTTGTGAGCTATTAGGGTTTTTTGGTTGTTTGTTTGCTGTCTGCCAGTTATTTCTTTTTGTTGCCTGTACATGATTGCAATGCAGACCCCACATTTTAAAGAGTGAACCAAAAGTACAATTTCACGTGTTGTAGAGATCACCTTCCTAAGGTACGAGGCAGTGAGTCAGCAACTAAGCACGTTCATGGCTCAACAAGGATTTCAAACAGGTCTTCCAACTCTCACACTGCTACCTGCAAATTATGCTGCCTCTTTTTAACATGAACCATTTCCTTGGTCAGATGTGACACTGATATCACACCTACACAGCATGGTTAACTTTTCCTTTGCCTTTTCACCCTGAGCTGGAAAGGTACTTACAGTTCACAGTGACTCGGACTTGCTTGACATCTGCTGTGGAGACCTCATTGGCAGCTTTGCACTCGTATTTGCCCGACTGCTCTCGTGTTATCCCCAATATCTCCAGGAACTCTTCCTCACCTTCAAATTCTCTGCCTAGGGAGAGAAAAAGACACCGTTTACCTCAGAAAACCTAACAACATTCACTGTATGCAAGTGGGAAGCATCAAATAAGGAAGTCTGAAGTACGCTTTCAGATCCAGTAGTTAGAACATGTTTCAAATAAAAGCAAATATCTTGAAAAAAAATTCATGTGTTCCACCAGTTCAAATACATGAGTTCCTATCTAGATCGTTTTGGCTACAGAGTAAACTAAGAAGTTTGCACATTGTTTTTCACTGTTCTCTGGTCTGCTTTACAGAGAGACTGAACAGTTCGACACTATTGTGTTATTTTATACATTGTGAAAAGGGGGGGGGGAGTGATCTCATCGTCCACCCAAGTGCCATCTTTTCTCCTCTGGAAAGTGGAAGAAATCCAGGTCACCAATATAGTAGGAAGGGGGAAAGAATAAAAGGAAAAGTTATCTGTCAGAGTAGAAGTTGTACAGAAAGGAGAAGAATCTGGAAAAAGGGGGGGAAAAGAAGGAGGGAGGAGAAGAAAAGGACACTGATATGAATAGGGGAGAGAAAGGAACAGGAGGGGAGAAGGAAGGGAAGGGAAGTAGAAGCTGAAATTATGGAGGCAAGAAAGGAAGAACATATTCTGCACGAAAGATGGAAATGGATCTGGATGGAAATCCCAAGGACCCATTAATGGGAAAAGTTGATGTTGCCCACGAAGGCAGCTGAGAGGAGAAGATATTGCCACCCAGGAAGGAAGCCATCTTGTTGGGGAGAGTAGGCCAGGAAAGAATGGAACAAGAAAATAAGAGAGGAGAGGGTTCAGATGGAGGCTCAGAGGAGATAAAGGGTAGAATAGAAAATCTCTCCATCAACTGTGACCACTCACCCACCAAATGATGAGGATCAACACCCTGGGAGCCTATAACCCAGATGGGAAAGTGGTACGGAGATGTTACATTGCCCTTATTGCATTTGCCATTGCCTGGGGACCAAGATGAGATGCTAAACTTTGAATGGGGAATTAGCCCAGATCTGGAAAAGGGTAGTGTTCAGAGAGGAAAGAGAAGACTGAACTGTTCAAAGATGTTGATACATAATTGAATGGTCTTTCAGTAAAAGCTGATGGTTTAAAATAAATCAAGAAATGGACCTCTCTCTCTCTCTCTGTCTCTCTCCCTCTCCCCCCCCCCTTACCAGCAGAGCCTCTACTCTGGACGGCAAACAAATCATAATAACACAATACAAACAACCCCAATAACACCCACATAATCACTAAACATGACACATAGTAACAAACAAACAAAAACCTGCTAAAAATGAGGACTAAAAAGTATTTTAAAATATTAAATACAATATTAGGTGGCAGAAACATGGTAGTGTTTCCCTCAAGGGGGAATGAAAAAGGGGGTCAAGGTTGAACCCTCACATACATACACAGGTTGAAGAGGCTTACATAGCACAGGACCAAATACAGAAGGAGACAATGTTAGTCCCACTTCCAAGCAAGGGTGATCCTCTCACTGAAGTATGAGTAGAAAAACCAGGAGGTGCCATTCATCTCTCCTAAGATAAAAGGAGGTTGGTGCTTATGCAGAACATGACTTGCATCTCATGGGTTTGGAGCAAGCATTTTTAACATATTCTGTCACACTCCCCTAGCTCCCAAGCATGTCGGCAAACACCTGTCTACTTAGAAAACTCCATGAAGTGGGCTGTAGTTCATACAAGTTATTTGTTAAGTTTTAAAGACTTGCAATGATGACAGGTGTACAAACTCCCTCGCCTTCTCCCACCTGCTACAGGTCTTACTGCAATTGCTTTGGATTCTTTGTGACATTCTTGCAATGCAACATTCATTATGAATATTAGTTTAGGTGAGAGCTCATTACAACGTGGTGATGGGTGGCAGAACGGAACAAAGATACAGTTATAAGGAAGGAAAACAAAAAACAAAAACCCAGAATGATACAAGTTTATTCAAGAATTGTCTCTAAGAGAGTATTTCTCCTTCTTCAAATTCTAGGCCATGATCCAGCCTTTTGTCCACAATAGTCATCCCGTTGTTCTTGGAAGCCCTGAAACCAGACATGAAGCCACTGGCAATGGTGCAGCTAAAAATATTGTAAGTAAGTAAGTAAGTAAGTAAGTAAGTAAGTAAGTAAGTAAGTAAGTAAGTAAGTAAGTAAGTAAGTAAGTAAGTAAGTAAGTAAGTAAGTAAGTAAGTAAGTA